GCACTTAGAAGCACCCCTTTCAGCCAAATGCCTGAATTACTTCAGGCTGAAGAAGCCTGATGGGTACCGGATCAGGCAAACATAGATGCCAGTATCAATGCTACCTGCTTACCAACTGTCTTCCTCAAGGGTGTGCGAACTGCAAGCAGCTCAGGAAGGGATCTGCCGGTACCACCGAGCTTCCCTACAAGCCCGCGTTGGCTTTGCACTCTGAGATACACACGAGCCACCTGATTTTTATCCCACCCAGCTGCTGTCAGATTGAGCTTTGTGGGCACCAGAATCTCATCCAAGGTGAGTGCTACAGTCCTCCTCAGAACACACTCAGCCTGTCTCCGTCAGGCGAGACGTTAACTCAGCGCATTTGTTTTGACTGTAAGTATCAGCGATGCTTCTTTTTTAGCTGTCTACCATGACACAGTAACGAGCGTGGCACATAACACACCTGGCAGCACTGTTCACAGGACGCCACGAACTGCTAACTCCCAACTACACCTATGCCCCTCTTCAAAACAGCTCTCAGGGTAATGGCTGGGCATGATTGAAGCGTGTCCACTCCGGTCACAAGCTCCTCTTGCCCCAGCTGAGTTCTAATGGAACTGGAACGGGCTGCCCAGGGAAGTGGTCGAGTCCCCATCCCTGGAGGTATTTAAAAGACAGGTAGACGAGGTGCTTAGGGACATGGTTTAATGGTGGACAAGTACAGTTGGCCTTGATGATCTTAAAGGTCGTTTCCAATCAAATGATTCTGTGATTCTGACCTCACAGAGCAGGACAATCCTGTTCAAGACTGCCAGTCTGAAAATAATAAGCAATGATGAACACAAAGGAAAGCTTTCAGGCATTATGGGTGTTTAAAGTGAGGGGTTTTTTCATTGCATGACTCTCCTTCACTTTTCTTGGCTAACGCAATCGGCATGTGAGAATCCAGGCTCCTTGCCTGATGCGCAGCCACTGTGAGAACAAAGGGTGAGTGTGGTGGAAACACAGAGACAATGGAGCTTTGCAACAAAAGTCTCCCCAAATGGGGGAAGAGCAGCCCAGGAGTGGAAACCTTGGAGACAGGAACTCACGCTGGGATGGCATAGGGGGTTCTCACGTTTCTCTGGCGAAACAGAGTTCCTCAGAACAACCTAGGGTGAGCACACTGGGAGATGAAAACCAGTAAACTTAAACTTTGTAAACTTAACAAAATACAGCTGAGATGGAATAATCGGAAAAGAGGTGGTTTGAAAGTGGTTATTGTTCACAGCCTTGGAAAAGTAAGACATCTGCTTTTTTTTTTTAATTATTAGTGTCATGTTTTCCCTAGGTAATGAGTGCTCATTTTCCAGTTTATAAAGTTCACAATGATCCACAAAACATGTCTAGTGATGCTGCATTCCCTTTTTCTGGTTGGAAAGTTATCTTAGTTGGGGTGCCAAGAATTACACACTCCACCTCCACATCCCACGGGAGGATCAGCTGGGCTTCCGCAGATACATCCTACCTGGTTTTGCCATTTGTAATGAAACTGGAGTTCCAGTGGATTTCCAGGCTTTCCCCCCTCTCTTTAGAAAGATTGCCTGACACCTAACCTAAACTTACCTTTCTGCAATTCAAGCCCTT